ATAAAAAAACAATATACAAATAAAAAAACAATATACAAATAAAAAAAATATACAAATAAAAAAATTAAGAGCTAGTTCTTCGAAAGAATTAATAAAATGGATAAACTCCTAGCTAGACTTATCAAAAAGAAAACAGAAAGGATCCCAAAAAATCACAAATGAAATGGGAGAGATCACAAGCAACACCACCAAAATACAATTATAAGAGAATACTATGAAAAATTATATGTCAGCAAACTGGGCAATCTGGAAGAAAAGAATAAATTTCTAGAAACATACAAACTACCAAAACGGAAACAGGAAGAAATAGAAAATTTGAATAGATCCATAACCAGCAAAGAAACGGAATTGGTTATCAAAAATCTCCCAATGAACCAAAGTCCAGGGCTAGATGGGTTCCCAGGGGAATTCTACCAGACATTTAAACAAGACTTGATACTTACTCTTCCCAAACTGTTCCAAAAAAAAAAAAAAATAGAAATGGAAGGAAAACTTCTGAACTCATTCTACAAGGCCAGCATTACCTTGATTCCAAAACCAGACAAAGACTCTACTTTTTTTAAAAAAGGAGAATTACAGGCCAGTATGCTTAATAAACATGGATGCAAAAATTATCAACATGAGACTAGCAAATCGAATCCAACAGTACATACCAGTGGGATTTATTGCTGGGCTGCAGAGCTGATTCAATAGGTACAAATCAATCAATGTGATACACCACATTAATAAAAGAAAGGAAAAGAACCATATGATCCACTCAAAAGATACAGAAAAAGCATGTGACAAAATATAGCTTCCATTCTTGATAAAAACCTTCAACAAAGTAAGGATAGATGGGACATACCTCAACATCATAAAGGCCATATACAAAAGACCCACAGCTAATATCATCCTCAATGGGGAAAAACTGAAAGCCTTTCCACCATGGTCAAGAATGAGTGAAGGATCTCCACTCTCACCATTACAATTTAACGTAGTACTGGAAGTCTTAGCCTCAGCAATCAGACAACAAAAATAAATAAATCACATACAAATCAGCAAGGAAGAAGTCAAACTTTTACTATTTGCAAAATACTCCACCAAAAAATTGTTAGAATACATGAATTCAGAAAAGTTGCAGGATATAAAATCAATGAGCAGAAATCTGTTGCATTTTTATACACTGATAATGAAGGAGCAGAAAAAGAAAGTGAGGAATCAACCCCTTTTTACAATTGCACCAAAAACCATAATATACCTAGGAATAAGCCTAACTAAAGAGGTAAAAGATCTGTACTCTGAAAACTATAGAAGACTTATGAAAGATATTGAAGGGGACACAAAGAAATGGAAAAGCATTCCATGCTCATGGATTGGAAGAAAAAAACATTATTAAAGTTCTACACTATGCAAAGCAATCTACACATTTAATGCAATCCCTATCAAAATACCACCAGCATTCTTCATAAAGCTAGAACTAACAATCCAAAAATTTGTATGGAGCCAGAAAAGACCTCATATAGTCAAAGCAATTCTGAAAGTGAAAAACAAGACAAGAGGCATCACAATTCTGTATTTTAAGCTATATTACAAAGCTGCAGTCATCAAGACAGTAGGGTACTGGCACAAAAACAGACATACAGATCAATGGAACAGAGTAAAAAACCCAGAAATTGATCCACAACTATACAGTCAACTCATCCTTGACAGCGCAGGAAAAAATATCCAATGGAAAAAAGTCTCTTCAACAAATGGTGTTGGGAAAACTAGACAGCAACATGCAGAAGAATGAAACTGGACCACTTTCTTACACTATACACAAAAATAAATTCAAAATGGATGAAAGACCTAAATGTGAGGCAGAAAACCATCAAAATCATAGAGGAGAGGTGCCTGGGTTGCTCAGTCAGTTAAGCGTCCAACTTCATCTCCAGTCATGCTCTCGTGGTT